CAGCACTTGAAAGAGGTCCTTTGCAGCTGACTTGCCCAGTGCTATACGTCGTCTCATGTCCTGACTGCTGCTTCCATTGGCATCAATTGTAGAACCAAGCAATGTGGGTCTTTGACAACCTCAATCTTTTCTCCATTTATCGTGATGCTGCTTATAGCTCCAGTTATGAAGATTTTTGTTTTCTTTATAGTGAGATGTAATCCATACTGCACACTGTATTCTTCTATCTTCATCAGTAAGTGCTTCAAGTCATCCTCATTTTCAGCAAGCAAAGTTGTGTCATCAGCATATCACAGGTTGTTAATGATTCTTCCTTCAATCTTGATGCCACATTCTTCTTAATATAGTCCAGCTTCTCGGATTATTTGCTCAGCATACAGATTGAGTAAGTGTGGTGAAAGGATACAATCCTAATGCACTCCCTTCTTGATTTTAAACCAAGTAGTGTCCCCTTGTTCTGTTCGAACAACAGCCTCCTGGTCTACGTACAGGTTCCTCATGAGTACAATCAAGTGTTCAGGAATTCCCAATCCTCTCAATATTATCCACAATTTGTTATGATCCACACAATCAAATGCTTTTGCATAAGATTAAAACACAATTAAACATCTTCCTGGCATTCTTTGCTTTGAGCCAAGAACCATCTGACATCAGCAATGATATCCCTCATTCCACGTCCTCTTCTGAATCCGGCTTGAACCTCTGGAAGTTCTCTATCAATATACTGCTGCAACCGTTTTTGAATTATCTTCAGTAAGATCTTACTTGCTTGCAATATTAATGATATCGTTCAATAATCTCCACATTCTGTGGGATCACCTTTCTTTGGAATGGGTACAAATATGGATCTCTTCTGGTCAGTTGGCTAGCTAGCTGTCTTCCAAATCTCTTGGCATAACCGAGTGAGTGTCTCCAGTGTCGCGTCCATTTGTTGAAATATCTCAAAGGATATTCTGTCAATTCCTGAAGCCTTGTTCTTCGCCAATTCCTTCACTGCAGCTTCGACTCTTCCTTCAGTACCATCGGTTCTAGATCATATGCCACCTCCTGAAATGGACGAACATCAACCAGGTCTTTTTGGTACAGTGACTCTGTGTATTCTTTCCATCTTCTTTTGATGCTTCCTGCATCATTCAATATTCTGACCATAGAATCTTTCAATATTACAACTCGAGGCTTAAATTTTTTCCTCAGTTCTTTCACCTGAAGAAATGTTGAACTTGTTCTTCCCCTTTGGTTTTCTAATTCCAGGTCTTTGCACGTTTCATTATAGTAATTGGCTTTGTCTGCTCAAGCTGCTCTTTGAAATCTTCTGTTTGGTTCTTTTATCTCGTCATTTCTTCCATTTGCTTTAGCTACTCTCCGTTCAATGGCAAGTTTCAGTCTCTTCTGACATCCATTTTGATATTTTGTTCCAGAAGAGTTGGGGCTGGCCAGACCAAAAAGATTCACAAGGTAGTCTGATGTCAACTAACCTCAGGAGGCATGACTGAGCCTCTTATGCACGTGCAACGAGGGCTCAATCATGATTGGCTTATGAAGGCCCAGAACACGAAGGCTGAGAGAGCTTCCTGGTTGGTGAAGGGAGGGTGACACGCCCTCTTTGAGACATGGAAACATCATACTGGGAGTTCTGTGAATCATCCCAGCAAATTATCAAACCCAAATGAAAGGGAGAAGTCATCAGGTGAAAGTGAGAGTGTTGTGTGGACTCTCAAGCTTGCACCTAGCATTTGTCTGTTTGGCAGTTAAAGGACAGTGTCCATTTAACCTCTGAGATCAGCCCTAGCTGTGGGTGGCTAGAGGCAGAGAGTATGTGTGCCACATGGGCATCTAGTGTCAGAAATGACTGGGAAGTGGAAAGGTGGGGACTGGATCGATCTCCACATTTTGGGATTGGATTTATGCTCTTATCCGGAAGGTACAAACTACTGAAAGCGACTCAAGAAGAAACAGAAGAATCTGAAGAGGTCTACTACAAGTCAAGAGATCGAGTCAGTAATCAAAACGGTCCCCACACAAAAGCTCAGCACCAGAGGGTCTCACTGCTGAATTCTACCATATGTTTAAAGCATTAACACCAATTCTTAACAAACGCCTCCAAAAGTGTGAAAAAAAGGAAACATTTCTCAAATCATTTCATGATTACCCTATAGCCTGAAATCACAAAAAAAGAAAACTACACACCAGTATCACTTATGAACACAGACACAAAAATCCTCAACAAAATACAAACCAGCAACATACAGAAATGATTATACACCATGAGTAGAAAAGGTATCTGACAAAATACAGCAGCTTTGGGACCAAACGCTCTCAACAAACAATAGAAGGGAGCGCCTCCACCTGATACAGGGCATCGACAGAAAGCCCAGGGGCACCATCACACTCAGGGGGGAGAGGCTGAGCACTTTCCCCTTCTGATCACGAACAAGATATGAACGTCCACTCTGTTGTTGTTGTTACATGCCCTCCAGTTGGACCCAACCCATAGCGACCCCTCCTTGGGGGTATCACTATGGAAGTAGATTGCCCAACCTTCCTTCTGAGGAGTGGCTTACGGGTTTGAACCGCCAGCCTTCTGGTTAGCAGTCAAGTGCCTGAGGCACTACACACTCTAGCCACTGTCATTCAACCTTACCCTGGAGATTATGGTCAGGACAATAATGCAAGAAAAATAAATAAAGGCATCTGGATTGGAAGAGTAAGTAAAACTCTGTTTGCAGATAACATGACCTCGTATACAGAAAATCCTAAGGAAATCACCGAAAAACCAACAAGAATTAAACTAATGAATGAGCTCAGCAACACTGTGGGATATAAGAGCAATATACGAAAATCAATTATATGTCTATGCTCTTGCAATGAACAATCTAAAAATGAAATTTAAAAAAAAATCCATTTACGATCACATCAAAAAATAATAAAACACTTAGAAATAAATTTAACAAAAGAAGTGCAATAATTGTACACCGAAAACTACAAAACATTAAATTAAAGAAGACCTAAATCAATGAAAGCCATCCCACGTTCATGGATCAGAAGACTTTATGACTACATTGGCAATATTCCACACACTGACCCACGGACTCAACACAATCCCTACTAAATTCTCAGCTGTCTGTTTTTGCAAAATTTGATAAGGTGATTCTAAAATTCATTTGTAAATGCAAAGGACCCAGATTGGCTGAAATAATTCTTGGAAAAAAAATAAAACAAAAACAAGACTGTGTGGCACTAGCATAAGAAGAGACATACAGAGTTAAAAAAAACAAACAAACAAACAAAAAAACACCAGAATTTAGAGTCCAGAAATAAACCACACATTTAAGGACAACTGATTTTTGATAAGGGTGCTACCCCATTGTGCTACCATTCAATGGGAAAAGAGTAATCTTCAACAAATGGTGCTACCAAGAGATGACGTTAGGTCCTCACCGCACACCATATACAAACATTTAACTCAGAATGGATTAGAGATCCAAACGTGACAGCTTAAACTACACAATACTCAAAAGAAAAAAGAGGTGTAAATGTGACTGTAGGTTAGCTAAAACAATATCATGTCTTAGATATGATACCAAAAGCATGCACGTGCACATGCACACACATGATAAACCAGACTTTACCAAATCTAAAAACATTTGTTTCAAAGGACACTATCAAAAAAGTGAAAAAGAAAAAAGCATATTCAAACCATATAAAGGTCTAGTATCTAGAATACATAAAGAACTAATAAACAACAACTCGGGTCAAATAATCCAATCAAAATGGGCAAGATCTGAGTAGACATTTCCCCAACGACATAAAAATGGCCAAATAAGCACATGAAAAGAGGCTCGCTATCATTAATCAAGAAAACAGACATCAAAAACACAATGAGCTTGGACCTCACCACCAGCAAGCTGGCCAGAGCAAAAAGAGGAACACCTGGTGGCTGTGTGTGCAGTCCGACTCTCACCCCGCAGGTGGGTCAGAACATGGTGCAGCTGCTGTGGAAAGCAGGCTGAAGCCCCTCCCTGTTAAACTCAGAATTCCCATGACTCAGCAACTGCACTCCCAGCTAGACACCCGAGAAACACGAAAACACGTCCACACAACGGGTATGTGAGCGTCCATAGCAGCATCATTCACACAAAAACAAGCCAGTGACTGAAGGCCCGTATGATAGGGTTCTATTTGTGGAAAATGTTCCAAACAGGCAAACCCACGGAGACACAAAGGAGATCAGTGGGTGTTTAGGGCCTGAGGAGTCCTGGTAGCACAATGGTTAAGTGTTCGGCTCCTAACGGGAAGGCTGGTGGTTCAGATCCACCCAGTGGCTCTGTGGGAGAAAGACCCGGCAATGGGCCCCCACAAAGACTGTTGTGTGCTGTGGGGTCAACTCTGACTCTGGGTGACTCTAGAGGACACAGCAGGCTGCCCCACAGCATCTCCGACCTCTCCAGGAGCAGAGTGCTGGGTCAGGAAGGCACTGATGAGCTTGAACCACCAATCCTGTGGTCAGCAGCCAAGTACTTGACCATAGCCTAGACAGCCCTATGGGGAAGTTGTTCTCTGTCGCACGGGGTTGTTGTGAGTGGTCACCTCTTGGGAGGGAGATGCCTGCTCAAGCACTCGCTGAGTGCTGCACTGCGTGTCTGCCTCTGTTCCAAAGGACACCCCATGGAATGCACAAACTGCAGCGAGACATCCAGGGACACACTGGCCATCTCCACACACACAGAGCCTCCAGTAACTTCTGCCAGGCCAGCCCTGGAAGCCAGACAGTGGGCCAGCCCCACAGCAGGGGAGAGGCATGCCTACAGGACATTCTAGTTTGAATCTGCCCCCCTGCCCCCCACCGGATTAGAGTCATGAAGCCCCTGATTGTGTTAAATACACAACTGTGTTTGCCCCGAGGTCACTGCCCCACTCGTGTCCGCTCTCCAGTCTGAACACGGCAGCAGAAGAGGAGCTGGCGGCCAGAGGGGACCACATCACACCCAAGGGCTCAGCCTTTAATGCAGCGCATAATTAAACTGGTTTGCAAACTTCTCATGCTTCTTCTGGTCCATCTGATTCATAGCTGTGACGACCCTCCGAACAGCTGCCCTGTGGGAAACAAATCGAGACACCGGCTGAGAGCTCTGATGATAGCTACGGGCTCCAGGCCATGGCCAGACGTCTGGCACGGTCAGACGAGATCGTGCCCCTGCCCCACCCCTCCCTGGAAGGCCCGTGAGTGCCCAGCTCCCGACATGATGGCTAGCAGAATAAGCGTGCTGAGCCAACTACACTCTCTGCTGAGGTGCACAGCGGTCAGGGCCAGCTGGGCAGGGCATCGAAGGGGCACCCAGCAGCCAGGAGGAGCTCTGCTGAGGCCCCACCTGCCGGAGTAACATTGACCGGGCACTGTGGACCCCATACGCACTGGGGGCGCCATGGACACTGGTGGACAGGAGGAGCTCTGCTGGGGCCCCACTGGCCAGGGCAGCAGTGACTGGGCACCGTGGACACTGTGGGCACTGGTGGTGAATGATCAGAGCCTGGCCTGAGCCACGCCCTCCCAGTCAGGAGGGCACCTCGGCAGACCGATGACAACGGGTAAGGGGCTGCTCTTCACTGCAAGACCCTCTGCACCCCAGGGGGGCCACCCCAGCTCACCAAAAAACAAGGACGACGTGGCTGGTCAGTGAAAGCCCCTGACCGGGAACACGCATCCCCCCTCAAGGCTTTCCAGCCCCAGAGCTCGGCTTCCCGCTTGGGGGCATGTCCTGCTGCCGGTGGCCAGCACGCCTCCTCGCCGCTTCCTCACTTTACAGGACTGAGGTCAGGACAGGCCCCTCAACACTTCCATATGCGTGAGGACTGGGCCACTGCCTGAATCACTTCTATGAGCATGAGGATGCTGGCTGCCCCCCAGGTCATTTCTATGGGCGTGAGGACTGGGCTGTCACTCGGGTCACTTCTAGGGACATGAGGTCAGGACCATTAACCTGGTCACCCCATGGGCGTTGACGATGTGGCTGTCCCCTGGGTCACTTCTGTGGGCATGAGGGCCAGACTGTCACCCAGATCACTTCTATGGCCATTAAGACTGGGCCATCACCCAGGTCACTCCGTGGGCACGAGGACTGGACTGTCACCAAGGAAGAACCCTCCTTTTGTGCCCCCTCCTGGGTCTCTAGAATATGCTGGGACTCAGCCTGCCTTTCCTAGGAGAGCACCCCCAAACCGAGGTGCTGGGGACTCGACAGAAACCTTACTTGTCAAAGACCTTCTTCCCGAGGCGAGCCCGGGCCGTGTCCGCCCGCTGCTTCAGGTCAGTGAGCTTGGGGTACTTCCTCCTCTTCCCTTTGCTCCTGCCCTTCCTGCTGCACTGGGACGAGCCAAGGTCTGCCCCCGTGGCAGCCTCCACATCTCTCATGAACTCCGGGTCCCGCCAGTCTGTGAACGAGACACAAGCGTTCGGGGATTCCAGAATGACCTGCACTAACCAGAGCCCCTCCTGTCTGCCCTTTCACTAGGCAGAGACAGCCACTGTGTCTCTCACGGACTGGGCTGGGGTGGGAGAGGTGGTCGGCCTGCTCACCGCCTGGCCTGACCCTGAGCGGGGACGGTCTCTGCCAGCAGAGGGAGGGTCTGCTGCCACACACAGCTCATTCCCACGGCCCTGAGCCCTGCAAGCCCTGTGGCCTGAGTGGGCCACAGAGGACCATGCAGGGCTCTGTGGACAAGGACCGGGAGCTCTCTCCCTCTGCTGGGAAGGAAAGGGGGGTGTCCCTCCTGGTACACTGCCCCTGTCAACCTTGACTGCAGCCATCAAGTCTGTGTGGCAGGAGTGTCACGGCTGTAATGGGGGCAGGCTGGCTGCCCACTGGTCCCCAGTGAAGGGCATGTATTTTCTTAGGCCCAGAGCTAACGCAGGGTTTTCATTCACTTGGACAGCACTGCCCTTCCCCACAAGCACAATGCCATCTGTCATGGCCACTGGGCACAGCCCTGAGAGGCACAGAGCCCTGAAGGCAGAGCTGTGGCAGCAGGAGGAGGAAGAGTTGAGGGGCCTGCCTATGACCCCAGCTCCATAGATCCTGGCCTGGCAGCCCAAGCCTGCCACCAACAGGGAGATCAATGTGGCCATCAGACCAAGACGGACAACAATGCCAACTCGGTGCCCCCCTCTCAGGAGGCAGCTCTTCACGGGAACACAGCATGGGGCTGGAGAGCCAGGGCTCTGGCCTCAAAGCCCGTGTCCACACCTGCAGTGGGCAGCGTGCAGCCCACCAGGCAACTGGGGAAACCACTCAGATGCTGGGCCAGCTGCCCTGCTCAGGGTAGCAGCAGTGACGTGACCCGGAGGTGCCAGACCTATGGACACCAACTGGCTGGCAGAAGGGTGCTGGACACACCGTGACCCAATGGCTTCTGTCTATACACAGGGGACAGCCCACGGCCCAGAAGCAGACACACTCCCAGCCCCATAGACCAGCAGGCAGGCAGACCCTGGAGCAGGCAGGAAGGCAGGAGCCCAGACAAACAGATGGCCAGGCCTCCCCGAGTGGATTTTTTGAAGTGAAGGACTACAGGGCTGCACCATTCAGATACAGGGACGATTAATCCAAGATTAAGGAAAACTGTCTAAACAGTTTATCTCCCAGTAATAAGAAGGCGTCACAGTTTAGGAACCCAGTGAATGGAGCAATTGTTTAAACACAACGAAAAAATGCTGGCATCCAGTGGCGACAGAATGAGCGTCTCAGGAAAATGAAGGAGCACTTTAAAAGCCTTTGAAAAAAATCAATAGACTCCGGGCCGGGTGGCCTTCCCGGGCACTGATGGCCGGCGCCGCGCATTGTCACCAGGGCGAGCGCTGGGAAGAGAATTACCCGTGCGCGTGGGGAGGCGGGATCGATACCGTCGTTAGTAAAGAGATGCTATTTCACATCTGAGTGGTCAGCGCTGGCCCGGCCTGCCGCCCCGATACCTGTTTGTTAACAAGTCACCAAGGGCTGCAAAACCAGATACTCTTCAGGCTTGACACAAAAAATAGGCACTTAATTTGCTCCCAGTGCGAGCCCCCCGGGAGGGCCTCGGCCGCAGATTAACAGGTCAGGCCCCCCCGCAGCAGCAGGGCGCAAGGCCCAGGCACGGCCGGCTCAGCTGAATCCAGCGTCTGCCTCCGGTAATCAAAGTGCTGGCCGCTGATGGTGACAGGAATGCTTCAGCGGGTGCCCCCACACGAGCACCACCAGGCGTCTGTGGATGTGGCATGCTCTCCATCTGGCACTGGGTAAGGGCTGCGGGCAGAGTCTCTGCAGAGGAGACCAAGGCCCCAGGCTGTACAGGTCCCCAACAAATCCACCCTCTGAAAGGGACAAACCTGACCCCAGATGCCACAGAGCAGGGACACTGAGACAGGCTGAGCCCAAGGGCCCAAGTGCCTGCACAGTCCACAAGAGCACCCCTGGCCTGGGGGTGTGCACCAGCCCCACCAACACTGATGGCTTCCATGCGCCTCTCATGACTGGCTCACGGACCCTGCCACCCATGCACACTGTTCCCTGCCCAAGAATAACCATCCCCTGCATACACACACACCATGTGTGCAAATAGCCATGGCCTGCACACACACACCATGCATGCATATACCCATCCCGTGTACACACACACACATCATGCATGCACACAGCCATGCCCCGCACATGCACACACATGTAACATGCACACACACATTCCTCCCCCAGGACACCCATCCTGTTTACACACACACACAGTTTCCCACCCAGCAATACCCATTTGCTGTTCTCACACATGTGCACACAACCTGCACACACACACAACCATTCCCTACCCAGGAATATCCATCCTCTGCTCACAGACACGTGCACACACCAGGTGTGCACATACATACTCCATCCCCTGCTCACACACACACATGCACACATGAAACACACATGCATGCACACCCCGCATTCCCCATCAGCCCCCGTCCCTCCTCCCAAGACCACAGCCTGGAGAACAGAGTGGACGAGGACAGGACACTCCCCGCTAGACGGCAGACAGCGTGCGCACACACACTCCTCAGAAGGGGCCAAGTGTGATTAGATGGGGTGAGAGCGAGCCAACAGGCACTGGGAGGAGAGATGCAGGCTGCTATCAGGGAAGGAACGTGGGGTGCAGGCAATTACCTCCTCCTGCCTCGGGCCCTTCATCTGTTTGCAAAGCACCGTCGACACCCGAGCCACACACCCAGACCAGCCTAGGTGCTGCTGGCCTGGAGATGGGCTGGGGAGCCTCAGCAGCCACGTAGGGCACCGCCCTCCTCACTGTTCTCACTGCTCACAGGTGAGACGGGCATCTGACATCACCGGCCAAGAACGGGGAGGGAGACCGGTGTGTCCCGAGTGGTCCGAAGTCACGCGGACCAAACACGGAGATGCCGTGGGGCTATGCCCTGCCCTGCACGTGGCACCTGTGCCTCCTGCCCCATCTGCACCCCACTCCATTTGCACCATCCCACACCCCAACTCTTCTCGCACCCTCTCGCACCCCACTCCTCCCACACCCCACTCCGCCAGCACCTCTTGCACCCCACCCCTCCCCCACCTACCTGGGTGCTCTGCCTGCCGCTGCAGCTGCTGTCTCTGCTCCCGAGACCTGTCCTCTGAGTTGAGGGGTTGCCCCTTGTCATCTCGGGGGATGATCTTCCCATGGAAAGGGCACTGCAAAGGACAGGCAGAGACCACACACTCAGCGGGGGTGCTACCCACCTGCCCCGCGTCTCCACCTGCCACGGTTCATTCGAGTTAAAGGCTGGCGGGCAGGTGCTGACACACAGCACCCAGCCATACTGCAGCAGGACGCCTGAAGCTTCAGGAGGAAGTGACGTGGGGAAGGGGGCCTCTGTCCTGCCCCGGGCAGGCACGACAGGCGGTGGAGTGGACTCTGGGGCTGTATCAGTTTGGCGGCCTGGGCACCACCCACCCGAAAAGCCCCCCTGCTCTGCCCTGCCCAGGAAGCCCCCAGGTGGTGTGTCTGCCTCCCCGCCTCTGAGGGTCCCTAGTGAGCCCAGAGCAGGTTCAGGACGTGGAGGAGCCACTTCCATGAGCCAGCAGGCAAGAGAGAGGTGTGGCAGTGCCAGCTCTGGGACCCCAGTGGGAGGTGCCAGCACCCATTGCCTGGAGCCCCGCCTGGCCCACCCCTCATGCTCACAGCCCTCGGGCCTCACCTTCAGCCGGTCCTGGCGCTCACAGAGCCGGCCGTCGGGCCGCAGAGCGCGGCACCGGTGCTGCACCGGCTCGAAGCTCCCTGCGAACGTGATGTGGCGGCTGCGAAGCATCTCAGAGACGGCCGCGCTCTCCGCCTCCTCGTCCACCTCCCTGGGCTTCCAGAAGCGATGCTGAGAGTCGGCTCTGCGGGCAGGCCCAAGGCATTCAGAGCCCAGCCACGGGAGCGTGCTGCCTGGCACAGGAGTGCTGGCACGGAGGCACGGCCGGCACGCTGCAGCAGTGTGGCTGCCCAGGGCCTAGGCTGGGACAGCCAAAACCCAACACAGCCCCTCCACCAAGGGAAGGGAGCGACCCCACCCGGGTAGTTCAGGTCACGTGCCAGCTCGGCTGCGCCTGGTGTTGAGTGGCTGGGCAGCTGGATGTAGTGATTCCCCAGGAGGACAATCAACTCCGTGGTGGAATCTACTAGAGCAGCTGAGTAGCTGCCTTAGGGATGTGGGCTGCTTCCTGTGTGTAAGAAGACGCTTTGAGAAAGATCTCTGCAGCTTTTGGCAAGCTTAGACCCTGCATTTGGCCAAGTCTTCATCTCAGTGGCCTGCCATGTTGTTTGGTAATCTTGGGACTGTGGCATCTTACTTGTTGACCTTGGGTTTGTCAGTCCAGCAGCCAGCAGCTGTCTGAGTTAAGAGAAGCCTCCAGTTTCAGTGGGCTGAGAGCAATAGCAGAGCTGAAGCCCAGGTTGAGTGGCCTTCACCCAGCCCCCAGAGGTAGCACTCTGAACTTGGATTTCTAGACTTCCAGACTGTAAGCCAATAAACTCTTGTTTGTTAAAACCCCCATTTGTGGTATGTGTGTTACAGTAGCACTGGAGGACCACCCACTGAGCCCCGAGGCCTCCCAGGGTCACCTAGGCTTGAATAGATGCACAGCTCTGGTAGGCCCAAGTTCAAATGTGACGCTGCTATGAGCTAGCCCTATGACCATGGGTGGGGAGGACAACAGCTGTGTCCTTAAAACATGACGGACAGCAGGCACAGCAGCTGTGGCCTCATGAATCCCAGGGGGTGGGGATTCATGGGGAGCCAGGGTTAGCACTATTGCAGGTGTGTGGGTGACAGCAGCGACGCTGCCGACTGCGTGGGGGGGGGAGGGATGCGGGACCAGCAACAGTGACTGCCAAGCCAATGGGGGAAGGCTCTGTTCCTTTCTCTTTTCTCCAAATAAGTTTATTATTATTTCCCCGGAAGTTTTTAAAAATGTTTCTCCCTGTTGCTGCTCACCTGGCAGCACCAGGGGATGCCAGCCCCACCTACTCACCTGGTGTCCTGGAAGGTGAGGGCAGCAACAGGGCAGCTGCCAGGTGACCGAGGTTCTCCCTTGTACTGACCCCCAGGTTGTACCCAGTACAGGCCCTTGAAGCTGCTGTATTGGTCAGAGCTCCTGGAGTAGGCCCTCCACCCGTGGTCCCAGTGGGCACTCAGCAAAGGCTGGACATGGGGGAGGCAGGGCGGACGGTGCCCAGGCTCACAGGTGACCACGGAAGCCAGCCTCGGTTGCCACCAGACCAGAGACAGCAGCCGGCCACTCTCGGCCCTGCCCCGCCCGCCACCTGCCCTGAGAACTCTGACAAGGATTGAGAACGACTGGCAGGGATGTGCTACGTCTTCAGCAGCACAGGGGTCTAGTCTCTGAGCAGACCTTCAAGGACAAGAGGTCCACTAAGAGCCTCAGGCACAGCCATACTCACTTGAGAATCCTCCCAGCCGCCGGCTGCTCCTGGCCCCAGTAGCACAGGTCGACCCCGAAGGGGACCACGGGGGCCCGAGCTCGCTCTGCTTGCTTCTGGGCCTCGTCTGGTCCCTGCGGTGCCCTGGAGGGGCTACAAGGGCACAGGAGAGCTCCCAGACCAGCCCTGGGCTCTTGCACCCCGTACCCCGTCTCCTTTGCTTCCCCGCAAGCCACAGATGGCCTCCCTGCTCTGGAGACAGAGACCTGGGCTGGAAGCACCGTGGATGGGGCAGAGGGTGCTGGGGTCCTGGGCACCCCTGCATGGTCCCAGCTCCAGAGGTCAGCCCCGGGAACAATGGCGGCTCTGCTCATTGGCCAGTGGGGCTGACGCTGCCCTCAGGGGCGCCGCATCCTCAGCAGTTCCACCCACCACGCAGCACGCACGCTCCTGGGGGTCCTTCCTCCTGGGCCTGTCTCCCCATCTGGGTAGCAAGCAGCTGGGCACTGACCTCTAAGGTCCCTGCCAATTCAGCTTTCTGTGAGTTTGCTCATTTTAGGAAAGAGTCCACCTCCCTTCCACAGACTTGCAGATGTTCAAAAGCAGGAGGGGTCTCAGAGGAACCCTGCGATGGGCAGGGCTGCGCACACTGCTCTGGCCCCGCAGAGGTCCAGGGCAAAGCCCCTGCGCCCCAGCCTGAGCCCCACAGGGCCTGGTCCCTGCTGAGGCCATGGCCTTGAGCCTCTCAGCCTCAGGCTGTCGGAGATGGGTGGGGCCTAAAAGGGCTTCTCTCAGCCCCAGCAGCACCCACCACGCTCTGGTCTCCACACTGACCCCTTCGTCTCTGCAGTCCCTACTGTGGCACAGGTGAGGGCTGGAGGAAACACTGTCCCAAGCTGCCTTCTAAGGAGCCAAGGAAGGTGCTGGGCAGCCAGACTGAGGTGGAGCCTGGGGCAGAGGAACTGTGGCAATGGGCAGGTACCCAGAAGTCACCTGGTGGATGAGGGCGGCGGCAGCTGGTCCCGGAGCAGCCGCAGCTGGGCAGCAGCCGAGGTGGGGTCCCACACCTCCTCGTCCCTCCTTGCCCTTGTCCTCGCAAGCCAAGTGCGAGCAGATCCTCCTGGAGGGTCTTTCTCCTGAGTCTGGGTGGGCGCTGCTGGGTCCAGGCCTGGAACAGAGGCACGTGTCCACTCCCGAACACCCTCCTCAAGCCACTAAGCTTGGCACCTTGTGTCCAGTCCCCATGCCTCTGGGGCAGGGAGGGGAAGATTCCTTAACACTACGTGATCCAACACCCATGACTTGGCCCCACAGTCCTGAGACCCGGCTGCCTGTATTGTGGCCAGGGCCACCATCCACCTGCAAGCCCCCAACCCTGCCAGCATCTCTCCGTCAGCCCAGGAGCCTGAATTTGGCACTGTCTTCTGCTCAGCCCTCCCTAGCTGCTGTGCGAGGCAGCAACCAGGGGCTATGTGCTAGCAAAGGACACAAGAGGTATCAGGTGTGGATGAGGAAACCCAAGGCTCACCACCAGAGGGGCAGTTCCTGCCTCCCCAAAGTCATGGAAGAATTAAAGAGCACCTGGACTCGAGCCTTTCCTCCCCCAGGTGCCACACCAGCCAAGGGTGGCCCCAGAGACACCCAGAGCTCAGCTGCCATGAAAGAAAGAAAACAAATCCAACAGCACATCCCAGAAAAGGCAGGCACATCAGATGAGACAGGATTAGTAACATGAGCACATTACATAATCCCAAAGAGATGAGGGGTGGTGCCAACAGCAAGAAGTCATAAATAAGCAGGGGATGATGGAGAAAACAGCCAGAAAGTAAGCAGGCAAAAGGAAGACTCAGCACAGGAGCTACAGAGTGGAATGGACCGGAAAGACCAGCTATGGCACGTGGGCAGCAGGGCGACCGGACAGCACCCAGATGGAATGCAACATGAAGCAAATTTTCAAAGTTCAGAGCTGTGACAGCTAGTACAAGTATCAACATCCTCGTTACAAGGCTCCTAGAAGGTAAGCAAAAATAAGTAGAGTGTAGAAAATAGTTGAAGAGATAGTCAAACTGCACAAAATTAGAGAAACACTGAAGAGGCTCACTGAGTGCCAAAGGGGAGGCAGGACACACCAAGGCTAGGTGCATCGTGAAGAAGTTTAAGAACATTAAAGCTGAGGAGAAAAGTCTGACAAGCTTCCCAAGAGAAAAAGCTGATACCACCAAAGAAACAAAAACACCACCAATAGCAGCATTCTCAACAGCAGCGCTGGATGGAAGGTGGCTCAGGAACGTCACTGTGTTTGTTGAGGAAAATATACACAAGCTAGAAATCTATACCCAACTAAACTATCATCTCAATGTGAGAATGAAAGGACAGTGACTATCATGTACAAAAGAGCTTATAAGGCTGGTCACACAAAGATCTGCTTTGAAGACACTCTTAAGAATAATCTACCAAGAAGAAAAATAACTGAGAAGGATGGTGCAAGATGTAGGAAGAAAAAGTAAGTGCCTTTGCAAAACTGACTGCTGACCCCCTCAAAAAGTGAGTATCTACAATAACTCAGAACTAAACTGTTCAATGTATGATCTGATATGATGGGGGCAGAAGGAGATCCAAGGTGGGGAGAGGATGCTAAGGTACACGTTACACGCAGAAAGGCAGTGTAGATATCGGTGAGCTATGAGAACAGTCCAGGGAAACACATGCATGAATCTTCTAAAACTGAGGGACAAGAAGAGTAAATTCTTTCACTAGAAGAAAAAAAAGAAAATGAGTATTTCTAAAACCAGTAGGAAAAATATTGATCTAGCAAAATGAAAACAAAACATCAACAGCAGCAGCAAATCAAAGAGCAAGAATGGTAAACAGAAGCATGCGATAAATTGGCTAAATAAGTCTCAAAATGTAATCATTCGTTAAATCAAAAGACAACAACTCTGACTTGATTAAAAGTATTTGGCAATATGGTGTCTGTAAGAAACCAACTTACCACAAATGGTTGGCAAGAAGCTGAAAATACAGGGATGAAGATAGATTTATTATGCAGCCAGGAACCAAAAGAAATCTGAGATCCTATGTTAATACTCTGATAGCATGTGCCTAAGGCACTTGACTGCTCACCAGAAGGCTGTGGTTCAAACCCACCAGCCACTCCTCGGAAGGAAGGTTGGGTAATCCTACTTTCGTAGTGATACTGCCTCAGAAACCTAAGGAGGGGTCGCTATGAGTCGGGGATGACTCGACAGCAAACAACAACATGTTAATGCTAGAGGAAATTTTCAGACTAAGTGAAAAAGAAGCCTAAAAGAAGGACTACGTGAAGGTGTAATAAACATGAACAGATCCATCCCTAATAGATTGAGCTTCAAAACGTAAGGCAACTCAACATCATGAGTCATTAAACTAACTCAACTCACTGCCACCGAGTCGATTCCGACTCATAGTGACCCCCTTTGGGTTTCTTAGGCAGTAAATCTTTACAGAAGTAGATTGCCCAGTCTTCCTTCCAGAGTGGCTGGTGGGTTTGAATCACCAACCTTCTGGTGAGCAGTCACATGCCTTAAGCACCAGGCCACCAGAGCTTCTTTTGTGAGTCACTGGGGAAATGCAAATCAAAGCCACAGTGAGACACCACTTCACACCTACTAGGATGGCTATAATCAGAAAGACAGAAAGCAAGCTGGGCTGGGGTGTGGAGGCGCTGGGACCCTCGGCACTGCTGGTGGGAATATGAAACAAGAGCTGCTGGCAGTTCCTAAGAAAGTTCCACACGGCAATACCACATGATCCAACAATTCCAGTCCTAGGGAGGTACCCAGAAGAACCAAAAGCCGAGACTCAGAACACATGGATACCCATGTTCATTGCACTATTCACAGAAGCTGAAAGGAGGACACAACCCAAGTGCCCATCAATAATAATGGATGAATGGATAAACTGACATGGCCCATCCATCCAAGGAACGGTACTCAGCCAGAAAGAGAGATGAAGTCCTGAGACAGGCTACAACAGGGGTGAGCCTTGAACCCAGGATGTTGAGTGAAAGCCAGACACAAAAGACAAATACTGTCGGATCCCACCTACATAGAACACCTGGTCCAGGCCAATGCATAAAGACCAAATACTGTCGGGTCCCACCTACAACACCTGGTCCAGGCCAATGCATAAAGACCAAAGCAAGTTAGAGGTCACCAGGGGATGAGAGGGGAATGCAAGTTAATACATACACACACACACACATATTATATATATATAGATATAGATATAGATATAGATATATAGCTCTGGTAGCATAGTGGCTAAGACACTTGCCTGCTAACCAGACGGCTGGCAGTTCAAACCCACCAGCTCTCCTCGGAAGGAAGGTTGGGCAATCCTACTTCCGTAGTGATACTGCCTCGGAAACCCAAGGAAGGGTCGCAATGAGTCAGGTTTGACTCGACGGCAGATAACAACAACATATATATATATATATATATATTATAACATAAAAAAATAGTTTATAAAGCAACGTCTGAGATGAGGGTGGAGCCACAATTGCAGGGGGGACTTCAGTTGGACAGCTCTTCTCACAAAGCAGTAGTTCAAACAGATGAAGAATACGCAAATTAATGTAATTGAAAGGACAAATTAACGGAACTGCAAACCTTTGTGTCCAATAAATTCTTTTCAAGCATTCATGTAACATGACAAAACCTCCAGGTACAACACGAAGGAGACATCCATCACTTCTGAAAGGTCTGTATACATACATGTACTTACTATGTGTATACGTACACAACATCTGGAATCCACAGCACATGGCTGCCACCAGCCCAGGTGCTGGGAAAGGTAACTGTCCTACACATACCCTCTCACAGACATACATAGAAACCAAGACACACAGCCCCTCCCCCCACTGCTGTGGGCCCAATTCCGACCCACAGCGCCCCTAGAGGACAGAGTGGAACTGCCCAAAGGGTCTCCAAGGCTGTCAACCTTCACAGAAGCAAAGCCCAAACCACACCCACTGCCGTGGAGTCCATTCCGACCCACAGCGCCCCTAGAGGACAGAGTGGAACTGCCCACAGGGTCTCCAAGGCTGTGATCTCTAGAAAAGCAGACTGCCACATCTTTCTCCGATGGAGCAGCTGGTGGGTTCATGCTTTTTGGTTAGCAGCTAAGTGTTTAACCACTGTGACGCCAGGGCTCCTTCAACATACATATACTTAATATGTGTATACGTACACATATGTATATGTTATGGTTGAATCACGTCCCACTAAAACACGTGTTATAAACCCTAAACCCTATACCGTGGTTATAATCCCATTTGGGAACGGATTTTCTCCTTATGTTTAGAGGCCATGTAGTGTTGTGTGGGGTGTGTTTTCAGCCAATCATCTTTGAGATATAAAAAGAGGCGATTGGGCACAGAGAAGCAGAGATGGGGGAGAGAGATACCACACCACATGAAGACGGCCCACAAGTAGCTCAGGAGAGACAAGGACTTTCCCCAGAGCCAATAGGAGAGAACGCTTTCCCACAGAATTCAGACTCTAGCCTCCTAACTGTGTAATAAGCTTCGGTGTGTTAAAGGCCCCCATCTGTGGCATTTTTACGATGGCTGCACTAGGGGACAGACAGAATTTGCTACTGGAGAGTGGGGTGCTGCCCTGACAGACACCTGAAACACAGTCGTGGTTTCAGAACTGGGTGATAGGTGGAGGCTAGAGCTGTACGGTATGTAACAGTAAGAGCAAGGAGGCCTAGTGACATGGTGCCTACATGCTTGGCTACTAACCAAAAGGCCAACAGTTCAAACACACTAGTCACTCCATGGGAGAGTGCGCTCCTTGTCAATCCCATGGGGCAGTTCTACTGTCTCACAGGGTTGTGATGAGTCAGGGTTGACTTGACAGCAATGGGGTCACAGTAAAAGCCCAGATTGCCTTGCAGAGACTGCCAGTAGGAGTACAGACGCCAAAGGCATGCTGGCGAGGGCTCGGAAGGCAGTCAGGAGAGCCTTAGAAGAAACATATGACACCAACGACAGAACGCTGCTAGACACGTGGACCTTCAGTGTGCTTCTGGTGAGGCCCGAAAAGAAGTGATGGACGTGTGATTGGACAAAGGAGGGAGGTGGCAAAGGACCCATCTAAATTATGTTCAGACGTTTAGTGGACA